ATCTTGGAAAAAGACCACTGAGAATTCATCTGGACAAAAAATTAGAAAAGAAATTAAATAAACTTGTACCTTTTAAGCACCAGTGTGAGTGATTACACAGAATGTATCAGAGAAAGCTAAATATTACTAAAATTTACTATGAAACTGCCCAAGCTGAAAGTGCAGACTCTGTCTCAAACATAATTTTACTAAAGATTTATAGTGATAACTGCCCAAGCTGAAAGTGCAAACTCTGTCTCAAACGTTTCACTAAAGATTTAGAGTGAAAACTACCCAAGCTGAAAGTGCAGACTCAGACTGTCTCAAACATTTCACTAAAGATTTACAGTGAAAACTGCCCAAACTGGAAAGTGCAGACTCTGTTTTTACAGTATAAACTGCCTACGCCGATAGTCGAAACGTTACTTACCAACTTCCATTTCCATAAAGTGGTGCCAGAAACCGTAAGTACATGTATTGATTAGACGATACTTCACCAGAGAATCACTCACAGATTCAAAACAAGTATATAAAGCCAATGTCGTAATTCGAAATTGTTAGCTTTAAAATGCGATTCAAAGACAACAACATCGCCAATTAATGTTTTTTTCTTGTACCCTTTTCCAAAAAAGCTGCGATTTCAAGGCGAACGTACCTCAAAAAGGTATTTTTAATCCAGAAATGCAAAAAAGCCTCGAAAAGTATAGTATTTTCTATAGCATTTCATTGATGAGTGGGAACCACTGAGCTATAAATATATGGAGAGCGCAACTATAGATACAGAAATTGAAGCCGGAAGTCGCGCGCGGCCGCCATCTTACTGTGACCACCTTGAGGGGGTCATGTAGCAGCTCCAACAAGGTCTTTTGTGATTGGTCAAAGGGATAGTTAAATATTAATTATATACTGGACAAATAAATTCTATGTCCGTATACAATATAGAAATTTGCGTATTAACTTGTTCTATTTTTAATCATTTACAAGCAATAATCTTAAGGGAAGATAATCAAGCAGTTATATAGTA